TCTTTAGCTCTTTCAAAGTAAATGTAAACGTTGTCAGAAGTTAAGTACTTCCGTCAACTTAAATCACTTGTTTCCTATTATTTCTTTCAACTTTGTTTATGCCAAGTCAGATAAATTCATACTGAAGTTTGATAATCAGCACAGTATTTTCAGCATTAATCAACGGCTTTTACGCTTACTATAATTAGAATGAATTATCCATCAGGGCATTCAACTCTGCAAAGACTGAAAAATAAAGATTAGCTAGACAGCATCATGTTAGTCAGACACCACCACCTTCCACAAATTCCCCAGTTCTTGCAACTTCCCCACCTCTAACATCCAATGACAGTGAATGTCACCTTTAACCATGCTCCCCTCCAATCACTCATCAGCTCCACCTATTTTCCCTAATGTCTGTCTTATTCAAGGAAACATTTCAGTGACACAAAATTTCAAAAACAGAGAAACCAAATACCGCTAAATTTTCTTAAACCAGTTGTTATACAACACTGCCTTCTTGATTACCAATGCCAAAACCAAACCACGAGAATCTGTGTCAGATGTTTTCTAAAACAAAGTTAATTATTCTTTAACAGAACAAAACAGTGGCTGGGAGTTTATGATTGTAGTAAAGCAAGTATGACCTCACTGCTCAACAGGAGGTTTAGTGACTCCTAGTTTATGGTGCAAATCAAGGACATCCACAGCGCCAGATGGACATCCGTTAGAGGGGAATTCTTAGATCAAATTTAGATAAAGAAAATCAATAGTAGAAGAAATCTGCACACATAAAAGAAGAATGACATGTAACCTGGCAACTTAACAACTACAACAAGAGTTCCAAATCTTTAAAACGTGCACATTTTATCGGAATACTTAAATAAATCTGCAAAATAGTTCTGAGGCAAAAGTTACATTTCTGCTCTTCAGACAATCCGATTTGAGGATGTCTAAAGAAGGTTAATGAAAGATTTAGTCACACTCACTTCCATGCTACTGTCAATTTTGGAAGCTGTGTGTTAATGCACGAGATCTTCTGAGGTTACCTTCTTTGAAGTTCGCTGATCCATAACAAATGTCCAATTAATTTGCAGTAGCCTACCTATAATGACTATTGGCCTTTTCCTTCATGTACTCACGCATAGTAGGTGATATAATCCCACTTTATATTTTAAACAATACTCTCCATGCTCCATGAGTATAAACATATCTTCAGGAATAGATCATGCCAATAACAGGCTTATATTAAAATATTTGCTCAGACCATTTAAATTATATATTTTCAAGAGGAGGAGTAATTTAAACTTTAAGCCTCAAAATGCGTGTTCACAAAAACAGAAATAGTTTAACTTCTAACTGTGCAAATTCTTCTTTATTCAATTTCCATGGAAGTCAAGCAACATGCAGAGGTTACATTTGGAGAAGATTAAACAGACCTGCAGACGTAGGAGTCTGAATGGGAAAAAAAAGCTAATATTAGTGGTCCTTCAATAAAAAATAGAAACTATCTTACATACAAAACTGGAAGAATTGTGAAAATGTTCAAAATAACCAAAGGCCCTGAACTAAGTGCTTATATATAACACAAATTTACATATGTAAATTGTCCAATTGGCCTCAAAAGCAGTGTTCACAAGAGAAAAGCAAAGTGGGTTAATTTAAACGGAAGTGATTTAAATCATGATTTAAATCATGGATTTTAATCTTGTTTTGCATTTGTACTTTTCAGTTATTTTCCTAAAGAAAAGGTAGATTCCCATTGGCTGGTACCATTGGCTGATACCTCTCCTAAGAAAGGATGATGGTCATTGGCTGGTACCATTACAACATGTTATTTTGCAATTAAATATAACTCTCTCCCCTTTTTTATTTTTGTTAACCAAGAGAATACTAGATCTGTAGTCATGTAAGTAATTCTAGAGCTTAATTTAAAATGTATTCGTATTTTTAATTTGTATATTGAATTATGTTAGAAAAAACAGTAAATTATATTTTGTAGAGTATTAATTTTTACTTGTTACTTGTGTCAAGTTTTATTTGGATGGAAGTTCAAATTCAATTGAAAATACACAAAAACCCTTTAAAACGAATTGAGAGGTTATAAGTTAAAAAAGACTGCCTTAAATGTGCTGGGTATGTAAGAATAAAAAGGTTTATCTAAAGTTTTTTTAAACGAAATTATTTATTAAATGTTGGCAGTCTCATCTGTAGTTAGTGAACTTAACTGACAAGTCATGCTGTCCCTCAAGATTTAGAACTAGTAGATTTCATCCTCTCACTCCTAGTTTTCATTCAGAGATTGGACGGGGGAAAAAACAAGCTTCCGTGCTTTTTTACAACCCCCAACTGGTTTCTTATGTCAAAATGAACCACTCATTGAAGTGAACTAGCTGAATAAACGAATATGAAGAAGAGGCTATTGCTGTCAAAAGCTGATTTAGTATGTTAACAAATTCTGGTTTGTTAGGCAGTGAAGCTTAGCCAGTGACATCTACCAGTTCAGTGGTCTGACTTTCTTTAAAGTTAGGCAGCAAACACATACTGCTTTATTGTTAAAAACATTAGTTACAATTATTTTGACATATTACAATGAGTTTAAGCGTGAGCATAAATTGTCATAATTATACATAATTAAAAGTAAAATCCTGATTTTTGTAAATTAAAACTGAGTTTTTAAAAATAATTTTTAATCCACTGTGGAGAAAGGCACTTAGGCACTTAATAAGACTTTGCTCCTGCAACCATTGTTTAAATATCACACCACTCAAAACAGTTGGCACACTGTACCGTTGGAGGATTTTGGTTTTTCTACCAGGATGGATTGGCAATTAAGAGCTCAGATTACTTTTAGCAGATGAGTTTTTTTGGAGGGTGGGGGGTAAGGAGATGGAGTGTGTCCACCATACAGCATATAGCCTCTTTGCACTATGGGTCCTCTGAACCTACAGTGACACATATATTAATATTTTTTTAAACTGTATTTCTATTCAGCAATACAGGATTTGGAAATGCATCTCTCTTAAGTGCCCATTGGTGGCAAGAATTTCCAAGAGGCACTTGACCGTGAAAAATCTGTAGGCACAGTGATGCACGGTTGGGCACAAAATTTTACAAAAGATGAATAGCCCTGTTTATTTTTGCTGAGATGCTCAACCTGTGTTTAATGCCATTACATACTGCTCTGCTCTACTATGAAAGCCTTTGAACTTAATGAACCTTATTAAATAGTACCACTATTTCAGTGGCGTGGCCTTAATATAGTTTTAAAATCCAGCAAACATGTATTCAACCAATACATTCACAGTATTTTCCCCAAATTAGATTTGAGAAATGCAGAATTGCTGAATGCTCTTTTGATACCTGTTCTAGGGAACTGCACCTCAAACAAGCTATTTCCAATCTTAGAAGCTATTTATCACTTAAATAAAAAGATACTTAGATCTTAAAATGTTCTAATCTCCCCTTAGAGAAGGCATCCAATTGCTCAGCCAAACTGTGCTTCAAGAAACGTTCAAGGTTTATTAACTCCCCGGGAAAATCCCAGGATGTGGGATTTTGGTTTTCAGACTCTTGATTAAACCAGCAGGGTTTCACATGAATTCCCCCCTTTTGCCAAAGTTTCACATTCAACATTCCCTCCTCAAAATCTGTACGAAAACAAGGATCAAAATGAAAACGCTTCAACATCTGCAGCGGGCTGAGGCTTCGCAGAGGGAGGGATGAATTTCCAGCTGCCAGTCTAAAGGGACTGCTGAGTGAGATTAAATCCATAAATACCTTCTCCTAAGGCTAGGGCAGCTTTGATCAGGACACTTTTAGCTGCTTCATTTTATAACCCTTGCTAAGTGGACAAATTTTAGTTTAAGATGGTCTTTAAAAAAGCGATTTTATTTCAATGAAATAAGGACACATTCTGGAAGTTTTCTTTGATTCAAACACTGTCACATATCCTAAAGATCACCCAACTCAGTTCAATATCTGGAATTGAACCGAACTTACAAATCTGTACTAGCTGGGAGGACATGGGAGGAATGACAGGAAAAAGTAACTTATTTATGGAACGCAATTATGTGCAGGAAAGCGAAGGCCTTCAATGGAAAACAAACGGCTAAATTTGGCAACTTCTACTTTTGGATGGCATGGGGAGAATCCAGTGTCAGGAAGCCTTTGAGGCCAAAGCAAAAACACTTCCAGGGATTGCTATGTGCTCCATTTGGTACAGAGGAATATGATGGGCCTGTCACTCAAGCGACAAAGAACATGTAGTCACCAGCCGTCCGGTCACACCAAGCATCCCATTCCATAGTTACACAGAAAAGCTCTATCACAAATACATAAAATTGACAAACCCACTACCACATGCTGACACTCCTTCCGACGAGCCAAATGCAAACCTGAAAATGCAGCTCATTTGAATCACTCTTCAGTATACATGAGAGGACCACCCAGGACCATGACTGATGCATTATCCCTACATCTTTCACCAGCCCTAGCATCACATCGGGCTCTCCATCAGCTCCTCAAGATTAGAAACATGGGTTGGGGATGATTAACAGAAATGATAAACCGCCAGGCACAATTCTCAGTGTCCACAGATAATTCAGACTGACTAGCAAAAAAAAAAGCTTGCATGCCAGAGAAAATTTCCAATGAAAAGGCAGCAGTCATCCCCAAAATTGATATAGGTTGGACCTCCCTGGTCCGGAACACTCAGGACCCGAACCAGGGAGTTTTCTGGATCAGGGGAAGTCAAGGCTCCCTTCCCGGCCATCAGCCCCACTCCTGGGCACCAGGTCCAGCCACTGGGCTCTGCTCCTAGCCCCACTGCCACCAGTACCAGCCAGGACAGCCCTCCCCACTGCTGGGCTGCGTTCCTGGCCTCTGGCCCCACTGGCACTGGCCGGGCCACCCCCACTCTCAGCCAGTCTCTCTGGCCCAGCAAGACCCATGGTCCAACAGCTTTCATGAAAGTTCTACAGTCACAAAACACTTGCAATTGAGTTCTCTCACTAACATACCTGAACTCTCTCCCCTCACTGTATCTCCTGGTTGATGTGGCACGCTGAGTAGCTGTCTCCAAAAGCAGCTTTTGAGTGAGCCTGCTGGACGGGGCTGAATCTCGGCTGGTTTCCTCTTCGGTGTCTTGGTCACACTTCCACTCCTCATCCTCGTTAAGGGTAGGCAAATATCCAGGCAGTCCTTTCCCTGTCCCAGACCCTGAGCTCTGATCACTATAAATTTTAGGACTTTCCCCACCTGTCCTTGTATATTCCAAATAAATATCGGACTTAAGGAACAAAGGATAGGTATTATCTTCGATCATGCACTGAATCTCAGTTTGGGCCTGGTCAAACATGTCCGGATCAATTTGCAGTTTCATGACACAATCTTTAATGAAGCTTTTAGTGGCTGGTTTGATTTGCCGGGACACGATCCCATTATTATCCAGAATGTATTTTTTGTAAATTGCTTTAGCCAATTTGAGCCTCTTTTCTTCATTGGCGACACAGGGCTCTAGCTTCCTGAAGCCACTGCAGGCAAACCAGAAGTCCAGCAAATCTCCACAGTCCTCCTGCTTCAGGAAAGTCCTGAACAGATTTATCCCATCTTGATCATCCAACAAGGAGTGCAGCGACTCGGCCCATCTCAAGTAGGGTGGAGTCGGAGAAGCACTCCCTTCAGGCTCGTACCCCAAATCCAAATCAGAGCGCCTTGGGGTTGCTGTAGAAGTCTCATTTTTAATCACGTCACTTTTCCCAGAATAGAAGCCATGGCTGATTGGCCTTGGATCCGTAGAAACTAGCTCACCCTCCTCACCAGGGACCGGTGGCCTTGGAGCATCTTCGGTGAAGCTTCCCCCAAGATCCAAAGGGAAGCCTTTCCCGTGGATATTCATTTTTATGGTGCCTGCTTGCACAGAAACAAGGAGGGACCAGGCTAAGCCTCAAAACACCAGTATCAGGAGTTCCAGAGTGAATGTGTTTGTCCTGTTGAAACAAAACGAGAACAAAATTAAAAATACTGCAGACAAAAATTCTAACGTGACTATTTTTAGAGCACGCCAATATTTCTATTACAGAGGTACTGAAACAAACAATCCTAAAAGGATTTATATATTTCATAAAGAGGAGATTTACTTGAATTTTAACATGTATATCCTAAACTCATAAAATAAGCAGTAGTTTTACATAGCTAAATACTAGGTAAATTCACATCTCCATAACAATTTTGGAATTTCTTTCAGAGTATGAAAAAATTCTCTGAAAATACTCCCAATTAGCACTAAAAATCAAGAATATAATGTAATCAAGCCATATACGTTCCAATACAATCACCATTACACACTATGAAATTCCCCTCCAGTCCTTGGCACATTTTGACATCACCTCAGCACTTGAAAAGCATTTTGAGCATTAATTAGGGTAAGTGAATAATATCCCTTAGTGAAATTAAAAGCATCATCATTCCCAGAATATTTTGCATATTTCTCAATGACACTCCTGTAATAAAGGAACATAATGTAAAAATTGTGTGTATGGCACAGCACTATTGAATATATCATCATACTTCATGGAGCAGGAGCTATTTACTGAAGTTTCACATAAGCTAACAAACATTATTTGCTGCTGACCCTGAGAACAGTCCTAGCCACCACCTGAGAAGAAATAATCAAACAATATTTAAAAAAGTAATTTGAACCAACATGGTGCAAAAAAAAAGGTATGTCTGGAGACAGGAGTAGAGTTGTACAACCTCTGGTACCTACTTGTGTACTAAATCAATATAACCTAAATTCTTTCAAGACACTAACAAAAGTTGAGTGTTACAAAATAATTCTGGGTCAACTAAAAAACCTGCAAAAGTGGCGAGGAATCCTGTGGCACCTTATCGACTAACTGAAGTGTAGGAGCATAAGCTTTTGTGGACAAAGACCCACTTCGTCAGATGCATGTGAGTCATGCATCTGACGAAGTGGTCTTTGCCCACGAAAGGTGCCACAGGACTCCTCGCCGCTTTTGCAGATTCAGACTAACACGGCTCCCCCTCGGATAAAAAACCTGAATGCTGTAAAGCTGCAGCTGTCTCACAGAGCACTTCTTTAAATGGACTAACTCAACTGCATGTGAAAATATACCAAGGGAAATAATTGTGAAATAAAAGCCACTCTCACAAAGCAAAGCCCACACAAACCAATGCATCTTTTGGACAACTTTCCCCGAGCTGAACAAATACAGCTAGAAGGTGCCCTTCCTGGCCTTCAAGACACCCGACAGTTTGCGCATCATCACAAAACAAGACAACATGGGAAACAACCAGGCTGAGTGATTTTAATTCCCAGGTAACTGTGGGTTTCAACTGGCTTTGTGATCCTGAGGCCAAGAGATACAGTTACTCAGCACAGCTACTGGGCCAAAACACACACACGCGCGCTATGCTGAGGTTTGCCTGAACACCTGCAATTTCGGATCCAATCATTCCGCCCTCTGCCCCGTTCGCGGTGCGTTTCTCGTCCCGACTAGAGCAGCCAGGCCCCGGGGTTCATCCGAGCCCCACAACACGGACCCGCGAGTCCCCAGCCCCCCGTGAAACGTCGCCCCCTTTCCCAGCGCGTTGCCTCGCTC